CGCTCTTCCTCGACTCTTCTCTCTTCTTGTCTTACGCTGCTTGCTCTTCTCTCCTTCTAAAGATGGTTACGCCCCAAAGTCTGTTTACCCTCTTCGGTATGTTATTGTTAGCACTATACTTTTATTATTGATTTGATTTTGGTTTGGTTTTTTTTGGTTTGTTTGGTTTGGTTTTTTTTGTTTCACCTTAATTCTTATTTGTAGCTAGCACTTTGGCTTAAAGTTGAATAGTAAATCTTTTGCTGTTTTTCTTTTGCTGTTTAAAACTCTCCATAGACACAGATTTTCTTTTAATGCATGCTAATATATTTTGCATGGTCTTTAATTTAATATCATTCACATAGCTTTGAGGGTTTATCAGAAATTATTCTTTTAAAATTCACTATTCAAAATCTTTATCTCCTTTATTCATTTGTGAGAGTGTCGAGTTTGAGTGAGTGATCTTGTGGCTGTCTGAATGTTCCCATTGATATGTCAAAGTGTATTACTTAGGTGACTGGCTTTAAAATGAACTTTCTCTTTTGGGTTACCTTTGACTTTGAAAAGGTGTTTATGGTGATGTGCAGCGTGTGAAGATTTTGTACAATAAGAAAGACAGTGCTCTTATACAGATGGCTGATGGAAACCAGTCACAGCTGGGTAAGATTATTTTTCTGTTTATATAAAGTACTTGAAACTAGGCTGTGTAAAATCAGGTGAACTAAGCATGTTTACATTTGTTGGTTTGTCTTGTGTCCTGGTTACCCACAAGATCTGAAATCACATTGCATGCGCTTGTATTCCAGAAGGTCTGCACAACGTTGTAAATTAATTCAACACATTGAATCACGTGTGATGTTCTTTGAAGTTAAATACTTGTGTAGACCTAGTTCATGATTTCAGTGTTTTAACACACTGACCCTTTGATTTGCTTGGGCGTTTTTCTTGTTTGCTTGTGTCATATACTACAAACTATTGACAGGTAACACTGAACTGAGTAATCTTGTCTTTTTCAGCCATGAGCCATCTTAATGGACAAAAAATGTATGGAAAGATTATTCGGGTTACACTTTCCAAACATCAGACAGTACAACTACCTCGAGAGGGACTTGATGACCAAGGGCTGACTAAAGACTTCGGTAATTCACCTCTGCATCGCTTCAAGAAACCTGGTTCAAAAAACTTTCAAAATATATTCCCTCCTTCTGCAACACTTCATCTATCCAATATTCCGTAAGTGTTGGCTGTCACTAAGCCACTCGTATTAACGTGAGTCACTGACTTAACTAATAATGTTTTACTTATGCCTGTTTTCCTTCTTTCTGTAGACCATCAGTAGCAGAAGAGGATCTACGCACACTGTTTGCTAACACTGGAGGCACTGTGAAAGCATTTAAATTTTTTCAGTAAGTAACTTTTCTGCACACAGTTCTAATGGAAGACTGCCAAAGTGCATTTTTGCAGCATGTCTTGAGGAAGCGTGCATAGAGGATAGCAGACATTAGGGGCAACTGCTGTAGTGTTTGAGTTCCTAATGCCGTTATTTTGTTTCAGAAGAGATCACAAGATGGCACTTCTTCAGATGTCAACAGTAGAAGAAGCTATTCAGGCTTTGATTGATCTTCACAATTACAATCTGGGAGAAAATCACCACCTGAGAGTTTCTTTCTCTAAGTCAACTATTTAACGTGGCAGATTGAAAATGAGGGTGTATTGCATTGTTTGGTGTTGTCACCTATTGACTGTTCAGGAAAGTTGGGACCAGAGTTTGTCTTCTGTTTGTTTTTTTTTTTTTTTTTCTTTACATGCTGTTATCATTCCTTGATTGTTTAAAAAAAATAAAATAAAAATATATTAAGAAGCAGTGATAATAACTGCTGTTGTTCAACTGTTGTTTAGATAAACCGTCATTTTGTTTAAAAGATTTCAACTTAATACCACAATTTTTCAACTTAGTTGACATACGTGCCTTAAAAAGGAAAACTAGTACTGCTGGAATTGCATAACTAGTAAAAAGCAGATTTGGTTGTCTGGGGCACATTGTTACATGATAATTTAAATATGTTTAGGCAGGGGTGTGTAAAAAGGTTAAGCTTTTATTTCTCTTGCTTGATAGGTTTCTTTATCTGATGGCTTATCACTTATTTTTCTTTTCAATTGGGTAAGATGCATTACTCTGAAAGAGTAAAATGACGTTATTTGATTTCTACTACTTTTTGCTTTGTGCTCTTTTTTTAAAAAGGCCTTTTTATTTCATAGTTCTGGTCTAGATTCAGTTATGAATGTAGGCATTAGTTAAAATTAACAAGGTATGGAATATTAATTTCTTAAAGGACAAAAAGTGACTTCTGTGACTTTGAGCCCTATGTGAAAAGCATTGTGGAATCTTAACCTTTTTGTACACACTCTTGTGGGATGTATCATATAAATGTCAGCACTAAGTAATGTCTTGTTCGTGGCTGAATATTTTTCGTAGATGTTTTTGAAGTTGACATGACTTACGTGCATTTCAATATATATTGCCATCTTTAGTTTCTAATTAAGATATGGAATATGGTTGTGGATTTCTGAGCATGTACAGACTGGTCAAGCTAGTTCAGGAAGTGGTGCATGTGTTTTTCAGTGGTGAAGAAAGTTTGCTGCAATGCTTGCAGGAAATTTTGTGGCAGTTTTCTAAAACTGACAACCAGGTGGGACCAAAGTTTATGTGCCTTTTAGTCTTAATTTACCTTGCATTGTAATATTCAGTTTTAATAAATCTCTTCAAAATATTTTGTATTTAGAAATTGATCTGACTTTACTATAAACATGACTCAGAATCTACAGATCCAGTTAATTTGAAAGCAGTTCTCTGTCAGTCTGAACTGTTATCTTGATTCTGTTTAAATGACCAATACTTTTTGAAATTGGTGTACTTAGTTTCAAGGTTCATAGATTCTGTTATCTATGTAGAAAAAAAAGGTCATGTATATTTTCTATTAGTTGAGTTTTTACATCTTTAGAATTGTAAAATTCAGCATAGTTTGAAAGTGGCACAATTAAAAATTAATTTTCTAACAAAGTTGGGAGGTTTGATGGTTGTTTAATTTCATTTTGTGTGTACTCTGCTTACCTCTGTAGCATGCTCAATAAACACTTCTGTAGCTCTGTATTCACCTTTTCTGTCTTTCTCTGCTGCTTTCTATCTCTCCTTTTCTTTGTTTTTCACTTCTACTGTGCTTCTAAATTCATGTTTATTCTCTGCCAGGGTGGGAAAAGCATAATATTAAAAAATACAATTTGTGGCTTTTTACCATAAATCTGATGCTGTGAAAAATACCAGCTCCATTTTCAGAAAGAGTTTGACCCCTTTGCAGGAATATGAACATATTAAACATTTCCCACCCTGTTATAACTTACTGCTTTAAAGACATAAGTTTTATTGTAGTTCGTTAGCTCGCTCTTTCTATCTTTTTAGTTTCTAAGCAGATTTATGCACTAATAGATCTCAGGTTTGCCATGCTCTCTTGCTGCAGTTTCATCTTTCATTTTTTTGTGTCTGCTAAAGATTTTCTACTAATCGTACAGTATACTCATGGGTTGAAGTAACAAAGTTTTAGACATTACATTAGTGGCCCGTACGTATTCCAGACCAAGATAGTTCACCTTTTCAGAGACACAGGTTCAAATGATTGCAAACGCAGTTTGGGCACTTTAATAGTGTTTCTTTGCATTACTTTGAACTTTGCGAGATCTTTTCCTCCTTGATTAGAAACTTCTTTAGTCCCCTTGTAAGAGTAACTGTATGATCCTGAAGCATTACATTGGTAAAAGCTGTCAGTGTTCAATTTGAAGCAATTTTCTGTCGCTTCTACGCTGTAGATTTATCGATGTCAGATTACTTCATAGTCTGATGTCTGTTCTTTGGGTTGGCTTTCAAATCAGTAAGTAGCTATCAGCTTTTTAAAGGTCACGGTATAACATAGGGGGCTTGCATTAGTCGTCACTACATTAAATAAAATGCATTAGGTTCCTGCCCGTTTTTTCAGAAGTTCACCGAAGATGTGCCTTCGGTTACACTCCAGGTACCACAGTGATCACCCGGTCACCAAATGCTAGTAGAATCAGATTAATCCATACATGAAACTTGTGAACTAACATCTTTTTACAATTCTAGCACCCAGATGCATTGATGTGACTATCTCCCAGTTGACTTAAACAAAAGTTAAGGGTCTGACTGAGCTGATCTCTGAAATTTTTCATCTATATAGGATGGTGTCCCATAGTTTTAAAAGTAAAAGCGTGTCAGATTTCCTTTTGCATATCAGAATGTGCTTGCGTGTTTCAAATAGCAACGTCAATCACAGTTTACCGTTCCATGGGTTCAACTTGTGCTGCACTATTTCCACTCTAAAACTTCTGTATCAGATCACATAAGGTGATTGCCATTGGTACAATTTTGAATTAACTTTAAATATCTGTAGTGCTTGAATGTGTACAAATACAGGGGTTTTATAAAACTGTAAATTACGCTTTCCAGGCTTATTTCCTTAAAAAGAAGTTTCTACTTTTCTCATTTTGAAACTTTCTGTGGCAAAAACATCAAGGGAAAGACTATATTTTGAATTTGATTTGTTATAAATTCAGTAACTTTTATTATGAGGTTTTATTTGTATCAGCCAAAAAGAAAAGTATTGGTAATCATAATTGTCACAGAACTGTGTTTTTATTAACTCAGTGAAGAAAATCACTGTGGAGTTATTGATAGTTAGTCTTTAAAGTGGTATCTTTTCAGAAAGTACAGTTTATGTCCTAATTGCTAGAACTTTACTTTTCTTGAGATAGTACTGCATTTTGTATAGGAATTTGTACATTTTTGTTGTTACAAAATGTAAATAAGTTTCTGTTGTATTTTTAACTCTTCAAAATATGACAATGCAAAGCATCATTTTTATTAAAATTTTACTTAAAATAAGGTTTATGAATAACTTCTTGCACTGTGGAAGGTGAGTTTTCAGTTTATGTTAGTAGAACTTTACTGTAGTCATGTTGATACTGCAAACAATTTTTGACAGAATGAGGTTGTTGATTTTTTTTAAAATCTTTTTTATTTGTTTTGGGAATTGTTATAATTTTCTCTACTGGAGGAGTGAAATTTGTTGGAGAAGTCCCAAAATGATTCTTTGATCAAGTAATGTCCGCTGGCAAATACAATATGTAAATGAAGTAAAACAAAACCTGATAGCATTCTAACTAAAAATTGTGGCAAAACTTCAAAGTTAAGTGAATGCTCTCGGAACTATTTCTGTATATTGTGATTCAATGTGTTACTAAAAGGCACATCTGCCCCACAGGAGTTGACAGCTCATATGTCTATTTGTAGATCACTACTTTTAATATTTTACATTGTTTCATATATAGAAGCCATCTTACAAAAAAAAAAAATCCCTTTGATTCATTGTAAGTTTCCTTATGTTTATTATAGTATGCTACAGCATGAAAGCACTAGTCAAACATTTATCTCCAGTATGGTTTTCCCAGTATTAAATGTCTTACAGTGAGTAAGTCTTCTTGAAAAAAATTGTGTTGGGTGGGAGAGAGGCTGAAGTCTGTATCTGTTAGACCTTACTCCATTCTGGAGACTGAGACAACCTAAAGTTCCAAGTTTTGCTGAGATGGACGAATATTCAGTTAAATAATTTGGCAAAATGTGCCCTCTTCTGTAGTCCTGGTATGTGTAGAAAGGGCTGCGTGATTTGTGAATGTGGGCAAGATTGTATTTGAAGAGGTTTTTTTAGCCTGATCTTGGTCGTGCAGCTTCTGCAGTGAGACCTCCCTGCTCGCAGCTGCAGTCCGTGAGTGCAGTTCTCGTCCACGCACAGGAGAAGGAGAGAGACTGATTTTTCCATAACAGTGGGATTGGCATGCCTTGGTAATCAGTGGACTGCAGTAATACTAGCTATAGAGAATGATACTCTTACAATTACTCTGTTAGTCAACAATTTACTCGCTAGAACCAATGACAAGATTCCTGTGTTGCTGAGGAATTGTATGCTGCAGTAGTGAAGCTTTAGAGAATTTCTTTAATTTTTTAACGTAAAATTTATTTTGAATTACCTAGTCCGAGTCTCTTGAGCTGTGAAAATCTCCACAGTGTATATTCACACACATGGGTGCATGTTTCGTCTCTTCACAATTGTTAACAAAAGGAGACTAGCGAGTTCCTGCTTCACCTCTAAAAAACTGTCATTGTTACTGTATGATATGCCTTTTTAATTTTTTTTTTAGATTACTGAACTTTCTCCAGATGAACAAAGAAGACTGTTATGTTGGTTTGGTTTTCCCCCTTCAAAGCTTACAGCATGTGATGTTTAAAGTCTGTGCTTTCTCTTGTTTAGTTCTCTATACAGGCAGCGAAGGAAAAGCAAAGAACTTTTCTTCCACTACAAAATGTGAATTAAATGTGAATTGCCTTAAATATCTTAAAAAAAAAAAAAAGGCATCTCAAAATAGCACTCCTATTATTGAAGAGTTCTGCATATTTTATGAGGTTTAGCCCAGTTTCATAAGGAAATGAGACACGGATAATTACACTGTCTCCATGTGAATGTTACATTCGCCAGATAACCCCTGTCTCCTCCCTGTCACTGCTGCACCCTTTGGCTGTTTCCCTGTCAGAGGGCATGGAGGTGTCTTGTACTAAGGTGTTACTATTTCTGTGCTCATGATAGTTGGCTTCCTAGGCCAAAGTCCTTACTTCCAGTGCTACGGGAAAGGAAGAAAAAAACCTGCTGCTTTCTCTTGGTTTGGCAGGAATTATTGAATGGCCTTGCCCATAGTTCTCTGTTTGTCTAACAGTGACAACTTGTCAGGTAAAAACCGTGATGGGGTCTGGTGATACTGGGTGGAGAGTACACAAGAAATTGGAGGGAAGGGATGTTGGGGGACCGGTTAGCTCAGTGGTTTGAGCGTGGTGCTGGCAACAAGGACCAACACCGAGGTCGCGGGTTTGATTCCCGCTCGGTCCCCATGTGTTGCCAGGTCTAGTCGAGAGGTGGCGTCCCTGCCCATGACAGGGAGATTGGACTAGATGATCTCTAAGGTCTCTTCCAGCCTATGCCATTCTATGATTCTACGATTTTGCAGCAGTTCTGAAGAGAAGAGCATTGAGGGACTTTCAGTAGGTTCAAGTTCTTTTCATGCGTAAATAGCCCTTAAAAGTTGTCGGTAAGGGGAGAGCTACTGGTTTGGGGGGTTATTTTGCAAAAAGTCTATCAAACTCAATACAGCTTGTAAGGTAAATGTGGTATGTTTTCATTTCTGCTGAGGATGCAGGAGTGTCACACCTCAGCAGCTGCGTACAGACTGCCATGGAAGCTGCTTTTCCCAGGATGAGTGCTGGTCATCCCTGGAAGCCAGCAAGACTGGAAGCCTGAAGTCTCTAGCCCTAGGACTGATACATGTCAGGGTACTTCAGGATGATTGACACTGATGATTTGCCAAAGAGCTAAATAAAGCGAGCTAGTGGGATCTAGCAAGAGATTTGTTAGAGGAGTCATCAAAAGTGACACATGTTGGAATTGGTGGTTTTTTGATGAAAAAATGTGTACTGTAAAATTTCTCGCCACTAGTATTCCTTGGAGCTTTGGACTGTCCCCATCTCCTTTAGTTCGTTTATGCTCTGGGCTAACCCCTTGCAGCATAAGCATCCTTTGAAGATGTCGGTTGTGCAGCCGAAATCATGCTGGACTAGTCTGCTCTTTTCTGAAACTAGATTTTTTGGCAGCTGCACCTGACAAGCACCGATGATTTGCTGCATGTGGTGGGACACCAGCCTCGCTGCTGCTTTAAAAAAGCATTGATAGTCCTCAGCTAGGAAATAGCCCTAGTGCTGTGCCAACAAAATGCTCTCTTCAGCATGCTGTACTTTGGTGTCTGAACATTAACCGTCAGGTATTGACTTGAAGGTAATTTGGGTATATTTTTTGTGAACAAGGGTTGTGTTTCCAAATGGAGGAACCTTTTTTCTTTCTTCCAGAGAGAGAGATATTTCCCAGTTGATGCTTATAGGAAATAGACCAG